ACATTTTACACATGTAAAAAAAAGCAATCCTTCATAGATCCTGTTACTAAATCAACTAACAACATTTTTTACACCTTTAAACCTTTAATAAATCAGGGCCATAGATTATAATAAAACATATGTCTGGATGTAGCTAAAAATTACTTTCATTATTGGGACGTTAAAGCAATATGTTGATCTTATTTTTAGGCATGAAGGAAACAAGGTCAGCGTCACTCTTTCTGAGCCCACTCCCCAAACACACACACACACACACACACACACATATGCGCACGCGCTTCTCACGACCCAGTTTCCAGAATTACAGACACTGGTTCCCAGTTTAACAGAAGCAACACAAACTCTGATGTCTAACAGTAATATGGATATACAGTATATGTATACACACACACACACACACACACACACACACACACACATCTCAAGTCCCAGTGTCCAGAATTACAGACACTGGTTCCAAGTTTAACAGAAGCAACACAATCTCTGATGTCTAACAGAAATATGGATATACAGTATGTATACATATATATATATATATATATATATATATATATATATATATATATATATATATATATATATGTATGTATGTATGTATGTATGTACATACGCACACACACACACACACACAGAAAGATACATGCCAATGCACACAGAACAGAAGGGAGACTGAAGGCAAAGCAAGTATGCATGTGTGTGTTGATGAAAGGGGGAAGGCATAACGGATGACAAACAAATCTAGACATGCCCCCCTCTTCCCCCTCCCTCACAGCCCCAAACCGATTTGCATAAACGGTTGCAGAGCTCTTGATTGACAGCTGTACAGTGTTGCTGCTTCGTCTTTAAGTCGCCTGTTATAAGGCAACTGGGGCGGAGTCACTCTGGATACGGCCCCTCCCCCCTCTGCTCACTCTCCCTGCCCTCTAATTGAGATATATACCAACTCTGTCCTATATGGCGCGCTGGCGAGAGGGAAGAGACGGAGCGAAGGAGAACGAGGGAGGGAAAGACAGGGAGGGGGACAGAAGCATTCAGGCAAGTGATTTGTGGTCGTGATGACACCTTGTGTGTCTCTGGTGCCTGTACATTACTGTGGTATAAAGAAAAGCCACACAGTATAGCAGAGAATACAGTAATTCCCATACATGTATATAGACATACATCCTGTCATATAAATTTACCCAGTCAATAAACAAAAACAGTTAAATAAAATTAGCTAAAATATTATACTTGGTCACTTATTTACTCATTAATTAATTATTATTTATAAATAAATGACCAAGTATAATATTATTTTCTCATTTAAAAAAATAATTTTCTCTTTGTCTGCTTTTAGTACTTTTTCTGCTTTTTGTGAAAATCTGATGATGTTTTAGGTCATGTTTGTTCAGAAATATAGAACATTCTAAAAACTTTCAAGCACCTCTTTACACACACTACTTGGTTAAAACTGTAACAGTGATCATACAGTTCAATGTTTTGAGAAAGTAAATACATCATAAACTCACTGTCAATAATGTTAGTTAGCTAACCTGTTTGTTGTGTCTGTAGTCTTCTCCAACTTTGTAGCTTGAACCTGCTGAGTTTAAGAAAATAAGTCTCATGCTACATTAATCCTGCTCTAATACAAAAAAACAATATGTAAAATATAAAATAATATAAAAATATAAAATATAAGATAAAAAGTGCACACATGCAAAAAAAACAACCTGAGTAAATACAAAATATATTTTTTAACTGATAAATGTTATTTATTGAACTAAAAAAAGTTATCCAATACCAACTGGGCCTGTGTGAAAATGTATTTGTCCCTGTAGTTAGTAATTCCCCAAATCTATGAAGCTGCATTCATAAGTGGTTCAGCTGGACTAAACGCAACCAGGCCTGATTACTGCAAACCCTGTTCAGTCAAATCAGCACTTACATAGAACTTTTTCAACAGCATGAAGTTGGTTAAAAGGTCTTAACTAATAACACAATATGCCAAAATTGAAAGAAATTCCTGAATGATGAGGAAGAAGGTAATTGAAATACATCAGTCTGGGAAGGGTTACAAAACTATTTCAAAGGCCCTGGGACTCCAAAGAACCACAGTGAGAGCCATTATCTCCAAATGGAAAAAAACTCGGCACAGTAGCGAACCTTCCCAGAATTGTCTGACCTTCCAATATTCCTCCAAGGGCACAGCAATTACTCATCCAGGAAATCACAATAGAGCCAAGAACAACATCAAAGGAACTATAGACCTCTCTTGCATCAATGAAGGTCATGACTCCACTATCGTGACTATTCATGACTCCACTATCAGAAAGACACTGGGTAAAAATGGCATCCATGTAAAAATGGTAAGGTTAAAAACCACTGCTAACCCAGAAGAACATTATGGCTTATCTGAATTTTGGCAAAACACACCTTGATGATCCTCAAATCTTTTGGGAGAATGTTCTGTGGATTGGTGAGTTGAAAGTGGAACTGTTTGGAAGAGAGGCATCATACCTATGGTGGGGTATGATGCCTCTGCATGGTGGGGCAGGACGCTTTGTTGCTTCAGGGCCTGGGCAACTTGCAATCACTGAGGGAAACACGAATTCTGCTCTACCAGAAAATCATAAAGGAGAATTTCTGGTCTTCAGTATGTAATTTGAAACTCAAGCGCAACTGGAATATGCAGCAAGACGATGATCCAAAGTATAGGAGTAAGTCCTAGTACTTGAAGTAAGTGAAAGAATGATCTCCAGTTATCAGAAGCGTTTGTTTTCAGTTATTGTTGCTAAAGGTGACACAACCAGATTTTAACTTTAAGGGGGCAATTAGTTTTTCATATTGGTAATAGGTGTTGGGTTATGTTTTTTTTTTTTTTTTTTACATCAATAAAAAATATAATTAAATAAAAACTGTATTGTGTGTTTACTTAGGTTGCTTTTCTTTTATGTTTCATTTGAAGTTCTAAAACTATCTAGTATGAGATATGCACAAAAATTGAAGAAATCAAATACTTTTTCACAGCACTATCTATCTATCTATCTATCTATCTATCTATCTATCTATCTATCTATCTATCTATCTATCTATCTATCTGTCTGTCTGTCTGTCTGTCTGTCTGTCTGTCTGTCTGTCTGTCTGTCTGTCTGTCTGTCTGTCTGTCTGTGCACAACCAAAACTAAAGTTTACTTTACACAAAGCTATGCAGGCTTTTGGCAGCTAGAACATCATTGAAAAATATTGTTGTCTGCAATTAAATCTCTAAATAAGTATCACATTTCCCAGAATTTACATTTAGATTTTATTGTGCAAATGTTCATAATCTGGTATTGTTTGATATTTTTTGTTCACTCATGATTAAATCAGTTAAAAATTTTATTTCACATCACACTATGCACATAATAGTATGTTGCTAGTTCAAAAACAAACAACAACAACAACAAAAAAACAGACATGTGTTAAATATTAGCTACCTGCTCACACTAGCCAGCAACAAGCTTCTCGTGTTGTTTGTAATTGATCTCTTTTGGGAGTGTAGTGACTGTTACAGTCCAGCATTGTTTTAATTATCAATGGGAAATGGCAAAAATCTATATGTAACTGCTTCTAAAGCTAACTATTAAACACATTTAAAAAAAAAAGTATAAAAATCTGTTCCTTCATTTTCATATTACATGCTACGTTTCGTGATAGCTTTGTCTGCAGACTAGCAATGTAAGCTAATTGTACTAATTACATACACTCACCAGAGCCACCAACAACCTCTGCTGCTTCTTTCCATCCTTTATTTTTCTTTGTAATGCTTCTATACATATTTGATTAGAGGTTGTATATGACAGGATAAGATGAAAACACAGTTATTAGATTTTCTTCCAATTTTTTCAATGAGTGAATGGGAATGAAGTGCAGGTAGTTGTGAGTGGGTAACTGAAGAAATGTCAGACCACGCACATCGTAGGATTGGTCTGAGGAATCATTTGGACCATTCATTTGAATTGGATTAAAAGTTTGTGAAAGTATCACATTTAACTGCAAGGCAGATAGATTGTATTACCTACAACTGTGTGAAGATGTTAGCTTTTCCACCGTTCCAAAATGTCATCTCCTAAATATTCATAGAAACATACACTTTTTATTAAAAGAACTGGACAGAACTACACACCGAGACAGGGATTTCTGATGTTCAGTACGTTAACCGACCAGCCAAGCATGCTAAAAGCTATTATTCTAGATCAGACATGGACTATCAAACACTTGGTCTGGATTAAACAGCGAAAGAAACAAAGTTGAGTCACTGTGAATACTAAGTGAAGGTGTTTGTGAATGGTGAAGTGAAACAGAGGATATGAATAAGGAAGTAACTAGCATGTTTGAACCTCATAGTCCAGGATTTCCTAAAGATTAATGAGTGCTATATGAATAGAAGTGAGATTTTGAGAACAAGCTGATGGGGTCATTGGCTGATTCATACTGACTGAGGAACTCTGTTTTTTTCCAACGCGGTCTCTGCATCATTGGGTTTACAGTAAACAAGCTGACTTACACCACCAACATACTAGCATTTCCTATAAAGTGTGATTCATGAAGAAACCTGGAATACATTACATCAAGCTAAATAAAAGGCATTGAAACTGCTTATGTTGCACTAGTATTAGCTGTTTTAGATAGCTGTTTCTTACTTGTTGCGTTATTTTGGTGTTTATGGTTGCAAATGAGTCAAATAGCTAGTAATCAACTCAGATGGTTTTGGCTCACAAGATAGATTGCTAATAAACCAAATGTACAAAACTTACATGTGTAGGACTTGATGAATTTTGGTAGCCCAAAATGAATTTACTGAAAGTTAAATGTTAGATGTTTCCTCATTCATTCATTAATCACCAGTAGCAGCTTTAACCTTGGTCATGGTTGTGGTGGATCCAAAGCCTATCCCAGGAACACTGGATGTGAATCTGGAATAAACCCTCAATCAGATGCCAGCACATACATAGGGGTAACTTATCTTCCATGTTTGAAGGGCCTGGATAGCTTGGTCGGTAGAGCATCAGACTTTTTAATCTGAGTGTCCAGGGTTCAAATCCAGGTGATGCTCCTGTTGTTTATGGTAGTGGTTTCTGATCAGAAGGATGGGGCCCCTTGTTAGGCCCTTAACCTTATCTGCTCCAGGGGTGCTGTATTACAGCTGACAAAAAAAGAATTTCACTGTTCTTTAATGTGTATGTGACAGATAAAGGCTGATTCTTCTTCTAGCACATTTTTGGGAAGTGGAAACTCGTGGACATTGGAGGAACATGTAAAACTCCACACAGATAGTATCCCCTGCCCATGATTGAATCAGGGACCCTGGAGCTGGAACTGCTACCCATCCTGTTTCCTCATGCTCACCACAGTATCTCTGGCCATAGAAAATACTTATGGCAAAATGACTAATGTTGCCACTGGGTGTAAATAAGTGTGTGAATGTGTGTGTGCATGGTGCCAAGCAACGGAGTGGCATCCCATCCCTACCACGCGTCCAGTGTTCCTGGAGGGTCTGAGGATCCACTGAAACTCTGACATCATGAACATGGATGAATGAATGAATTAACCTCTAATTGCACAAAAATAGATATTTTTCATTACAAATCTTCAAGCTTAGATCTCAGATGCAAATTTTAGTGTGGCTAAATAATAGTCATTCTAATTTAATGGCATGGTAGTATTCGATGGCATTTGGTTATTTCCTTTGTCAATTTGATTATGTAAACAGATACCATGATATCTCAAAACTGCTGTATGGGGTTATCTGGTTTTCCTCCATCCATCCATCTTCTACCACTTACTCCTTTTCAGGGTCACGGGGATCCTGGAGCCTATCCCAGGGAGCTTTGGTTTTCATATTGTGAATTATTTAACAATGACTCTCAGTGATTTTATGGGTGTGATATGTGGAGCAGGGATAAATACTGAGAAAATGAAATCAACAAGGGATATATTTCAGTGTGTATGCATGGATACTGGATCCTGTGGGAGAAAACGGAAAAGTTGCGAGAGTGAGCCGCTTTTCCTTACAGATATGAAGCTTTGGGCCAAAGGAAAACCACCTTGATTAATTGGAGTGTATTGGGATATGGAGCAGTGCTTGCTTGTGGGTGTTGTGCCGCAAGTTTTATACATCTAGAGTAAATTAAGCTTCATTCATTCATTCATCTTAAGCAATTGTTTTATTCTGGGCAAAATTTGCTGCGGTTTAAATGACTAACTTTCTTTCTTTCTTTCTTAAATGACTAATAATCTTTCTTTCTTTCTTAGTATACCCAAGTAATTTCATTAGAAAATATCAGGGACAGGCACAACCAAAATAACTAGAGAAGTGGGTGGGATTAGTCAGAATTCCTTCAGAAGCAGTGAATTTTTTTTAGTTTAAAAAAACAACAACAACAACAACAACAAAAACAGGCTAGTGCACATCTCCATCTCTAGTGTAAGATATGGAGATCAGAAATAGGCAAGTAGAGTTTTTCCGCACACCTGGACACAGCTGTCAGACGCATCTGCATGGAACTGCAGTCACATGTTGAGCATAATGAGCCTTTTAATACAGGGGTGTCTTCTCATCAAATTCCAACCGTTCAGGTAATAGACTTCCATGCCCTCAAACTCCAACACAGTGCTCTGGTTGCAGTAAGCTCATATGAAAAGATATGAATGATTAAGTTTAGAGTGAAGGGCAGGGTTAGTGCACTTACAACTTCATATTATGAAATTCAATAAAATTGCTCAGTTATATTGTTATAATTTTTGTCTCCCCCTCCATCTTAAGAAATCTTATCAGAGTTCTTAATAAATAAAGATGGTTGTAAGATGCTACAGCGAGTATCCCTTTGAGGATACACTTCACTTGTCAAAATGGTCTTAACACTGTCAAATCTTTTGGAAAGTAGACCACAATCAGCTGATAAATCTGTGATTATTATCATGTCTCAAGTTGTATAAAAAAAACCCTACAAAGTCTAAGGTTACGGTGAGTGTTCATACAATCATTTGTTTTCTTATATCTTTGCTCTTAAAATCTAACCATATTGCACTGGCTAGTTTGAATCTTATGAATTTTTCATGTTTACCTAAAGCCTCATTACACGCTTTAAGAGTGCTCATAATAATCACATCTGCGCTCTCTAAACCTGTGATTCTTCAGATTTGAACTTGATTGTATGAAATGATGAGTGTTTTTTGTACTAAATGCCCTAAAATTATAAAAACATGGTGTGTGACATAAAATGATTTATTTAATATTGCAACATATACAGTATGCTAAATTATTATGTTATATATCTAGGCAAGTTCTAAGAATGGTAGACTGCTAACCTAACAAACTATTTGTAATATTTATTTTGTGCATTTTATCATCACTGTGAAAATGATATGCAATATATAGTAAAATCAATTAGATTTATTTTATAATATGTCAAATATACATAAAATTTTCGAAAAAAATATACAACTCTTATTTCCAGTCCACTAATTTGATTGGTTGAGTGGGAATGTACAAATCGATGTGAGCTAGCTAGCCAGCTACCCGACCTGCTATAAAGTGAGTGTGACGTCTTTGGGATCTATATCCATTCACAGAGCAAAAATAAACAGAACATTTGGCCACATTGAGAATTGACTGTAGACACAGCCACAGTGTAAGGGATCTAGCTAATCACAGACGTGCCGATATTCAGTATAGATGCACTCTTGCTTGTGCGATTTTGCTGTTTTTGTTGATTTTATTTATTTAATTTCTCCTCCCTTATGTTTCCTAGTCTAGTGTCTTGATCCCTAAAGTTTTATATAGTTCCCTTTAGTAAAAACTACTACATTTGTTTTCTCTGTGATATACATCTGTGATGTGATGAGTCACACAGACTAAGTTGAAAAAGACTCTGATTACACTTTGTGTTATTTGAAATATTTCTGACTGAGTTGTAATCAGCTCTTTACCCTGCTGACACACAATAATATTCAATAATATATGAAGTTATAAGTATGCTAATTTATAATCAGTAATATATAATCATTGCTGTCCTCATCATCCTTTCATGATGTCTTCTTCTGATCTGAGTGTAAAGAGCAAGGCTCTGTTTTATTTGAATAAGAAAGTCATTATTGTCCACATGCACCATGAAGGAAAAACCATGCTTATATGCAACACAAAGTATACTGTACTTATCTGATACTAGATTTCTTTATTTAGTAAGTAGCCACAATATTTTGACAATGTAGGTAGATAACTATTTAACAATATAGTTAACTATTATGTTATTAAAGGGCCAGACGGTGGATTTCTGGCTGTAGTACTTGGATTTAAACTCACAACCTTCCATTCACTAGAGCAGAACCTGCAACAGCTTTCTATCATAAATAGTTTTTTGATCCTAAATATAAAATTAATAATACAACAAGAATAAATCAGTTTAACCCCAATATTGGAAGCAACAAGAACGATGTTGTTGGATGTTAAGAGTACTAAGTCCAGCTTTCAAGGTAATTATGGTATAATAACAATATAGCATAGTATATATAGCTGCATGTAAAAAGGATCATCCAGAAAGTGTACTTGCAGGCCAAGGGCACATTCTTAGCATTCTAAAGCACATTCTAAGGCACAGCCTTTGCTTTCATTTGCTTCTTTTTAGGGATCAGTGAATAAGTTCCAAAAAATTTTTACAATATTTTTATGCATTATTTCATATGCATATAAGTGTAAAAGACTAAAGTAGGGTACACTCAGTTATGTTCATATTCTCGGTGGATGCAAATTGATGAGCAGAGACACTAAGAGAGAGAGAGAGAGAGAGAGAGAGAGAGAGAGAGAGAGAGAGAGAGAGAGATTTCTTCTTTCTAATCGCCCCATAGCAGACCTGCACAAATAATAATTCCTGTGCATCTGGAGGGGGAGGCACAGAGCTAAAAATAAAGACAGTGTGTGTGTGTGTGTGTGTGTGTGTGTGTGTTGGGGGGGTGTGAGAGAGAGAGAGAGAGAGAGAGAGAGAGAGAGAGGGGAAGAGGACACAATCTCTACATATCTGTCAGTCGATTGGCCAGTTAAAAATGCATACAATTACTTGCGCCGGCTCAAAGGCAGAGGCATTTACATATGCATACGTGAGGGTACTGCCTGGCTGTCGGAACGAAGGAAGAAAGCACACGCTGGGGGAGGGGGTGATGGAGGGCAAGGGGAGAGATGCGGAGAAACAGAGAAGCATTAATCTTTAAACACTCAACATGCAGATTTATTGCAGACAGCAGGGGGACAGAATTAAAACTCCCCAGTAAGAAAGAGGAGAGAGAAATGGGGAGGGAAACTGTAAATCGCTGGGCAACATTTAATTTAAAATTTTGCGATGTTACAGATCTTAGCTTGGGCATTGTGTCCTTTGAGAATTTGCTCCATTCCTAATTAACATGCACTTCCTTTATTTGATAGTTTTCAATGTACCATATTTCATATTCTCAACTATAGCAAAACACCATACGTCCATGTTCATTACGTATATGACTTTAGATTCACCTAACACACACCTTATGCGTATCTACAACCCACACAAGGGAGAGAATCTAATTTCCTTTATGTTTTGGATTGGCAGCACTGTATTTTCGTTAAAAGCCCATCACGTCATATCATTTCAGCATTCCGTGTGGCTCACAAAAGCGGTTTTACAAACGGATGAGCTAATTATTGTTTGATTTCAATACAAAACGATCTTCTTGGTGATAATGCATCCATTCATTACAATTCAATCAAATCCTCAACATTGTCAGGAATTGCTGTGTTTAGGGAGGGAGCGTTCACAATTCGTCAAATGCATGAATTGTGCTCGAAGAGAGCTCTTTGCCAGTCATAAACATTCACACGGCTTCATAGATCAGACCAAAATAGACGCGGCAATGCTGAAGGTGCCTTTATGTGCAGCATGGAAGTGCGTGCTCTGTCCTTCTGAATACTGTTCCCTCTGAATTGACCCCCAAACACAATAATGCTATATATAACATACATACAAGGATGTGACGTAAAAGCTGTAGTAGTCGCTGGCATATTAGAGAAAACAATATTAACCAGTAAA